TGCTTTTGCTGCTATATGATATTCAATGAGTAGCTAAATTATTAATTTTAATGGGTTGCACAAAAATGGAATAATAGATGACATGGCTAAAGCTAAAATACATGTTCTGTGATATGGAAAGGCTAATACAGTGAAAATCTAAGAGGAGTGTCTACAACGTTCTCCTCTGCTTCAGTACCATTGTTGTACAGCAATGTCTCTGATCCAGGTACACTAAAATTTAGTGAGATGTACTGAGTTAAAAGGAGTCTCACACTGAAAATCACAAAGGCAACCATTTTCACTTTTTTGATCTTTTCAGTTAATAAATTTTTATTTCAAGGTAAATGGAGCCAAAGTTAACTCTTACTATCACTAAATGAATCCAGTATATATAAAGAACTAAAGAAACTGAAAAGCAGCAAACCAAGTAATCCAATTAAAAAATGGGGAACAGAGCTAAACAGAGAACTCTCTGTAGAGGAATATCGAATGGCAGAGAAACACTTAAAGAAATGTTCAACATCATTAGCCATCAGGGAAATGCAAATCAAAACGACCCTGAGATTTCACCTTACACCCATCAGAATGGCCACGATGAAAAACTCGAGTGACAACACATGCTGGAGAGGCTGTGGAGAAAGGGGAACCCTCCTCCACTGCTGGTGGGAATGTAGCCTAGAACAACCATTTGAAAGGCTCTGCCCTGCAGACTATCAAAGCAGATGTTGAGACTTATGGCCTATGAAAGAAGTGGGAAATAGTAAGATCTGGAGAAGACAAGTGCTCCACAAGGAGAGCAACAGAATCAAAAAATTTGTACACAGGGGTCTTTCCCTGAGATTCATATTCCAACCAAGTACCATGCATCGAGATAACCTAGAACCCCTGCACAGATGTAGCCCATGGCAGTTCAGTGTCCAAGTGGGTTCCATAGTAATGGGAACAGGGACTGCTTCTGAGAATTTCATATAATATATTTTGGCCATAATTGTGCCCCACCCTGCAAATCTATATCCAACTCTATATCCCTTTTAACTTAGTGTCTTCTTTTTATTTCTCACCTGTAAGTAACTTACTGTGTCCAGTTTGTGCTGTCTATAGCTAACCTTTCATAGCAATCCACTGGAGTAAAGTAGCCCTGTCAGGAGTCTTCCCAATAAAGAAAACTGACTTTCCCTATCTAGAAGCCATAATCTGTCCATAGATACTCTGATGAAGGTGAAAACTATTTGTCTCTTTCCCACTCCATGCCAGGGTACTGACAGGCATGATTATGTGTGGTCTTTTCGAGGCAAACATATGAGTTGTGGGTTCATGAGCACCACAGTCCTGTCATGTCCAGAACAACCATTTTTCCTCTGATCCTTTCCAAACACCGGCTCTCACAGTCTCTCTCCCGTCTTCCTCAATTATCCCTGAACCTTGGGAAGTGATGATGTAACATCTATGCCATCACTAGGCACTCATGGCTAAGTACTCCAGTGACACTTATTCCCTGTGCTTGATCAATTATGAGTTTCTGCATTCAACACCATCCACTTTACAAAGAAACTTCCCTGATGATGTTCCAGAGATACACTATTCTACCAGCAGAGAGAAAGAAAATGAGGGAGTAATTGTATATTGTGTCCATTTAGCAGAAAAATAGTGACAGTTCATCCTGGAATCATATGAGGTACCCTACCATGGTTTGCTGGCCTGATTTACGGTACCAGTTCTCTACTCCTCCTGAGGCTTGGTCCTTCAATCCAATCAGTAAGTAGTTTGTTATCCTCATGATAGCAATGCTGTTAGTGTTCCCATGTGCCTACTTTGCCATACCAGTCATTACTATAATTCACAGTGTTCATAGCTGAATAAGACTGGTAATGATATTTTTCCCCTCCAATAACCTACATAGCACCTACTAGGCTACATACACTACAGGGAGGGAACTTTCTAGTCAGTACCACTTTGATTTCTCTAAGTCCTATGACCAATGTGTGAGGTGTTTTTAGTACTAATACTTTATAATCAAACAAACTCTTCTTAAAGTTGCCTGTCCTAAAAAATTAGAGCTAACTAGAATGATCACTTGAGAACTTTTAATTTGGCTGGATTTTTTTAAGACAATCATTTCATTTTATTTATAAAGATGCATCTGTTTTTTAATAATAAAGTTTTTTATTATTATCATTTATTATAATTTATTCAATTTGTATCCCGCCTGTGGCCGCCTCCCTCGTCTCCTCCCAATCCCACCTTCCTTCATTCTTCTCCCCCTGTGCCCCTCCCCTAGCCCAATGATAGGGAACGACCTCCTCCCCTTCTATTTGACCCTAGCTTATCAGGTCTCATCAGGAATGGTTGCATTGTCTTCACTGTGTCCTGGCAAAGCTGAATCCCCTCCCCCAGGAGAAGGTGATCAGAGAGCCTACCACTGAGTTGTTGCCAAAGAAATCTTCTGCTCCCCTTACTAAGAACCTCACTTGGAGACTGAGTCTATGGGCTACATCTGAGCTGCAATTTTAGGTCCTCTTGATACATTGTCCTTGGTTGGGGTATCAGTCTCTGCAGGGCTTCTAGGGCTATGTTTTTATGGCTCTGTTGGTCTCCTTTTGGAGCTCCTGTCCCTTCCTGGTCTTTTTATCTCCCTCTTCTTCCATAAGATTCCCTACACTCTGTCCAAAGTTTGGTTATGAGTCTCAGCCTCTGCTTTGATACTTTGATCAGTACAGTCTTTCAGATGCCATCTGTGATAGGCTCCTTGACAAGAGTAGCTAACTGTAAAATTTATTATAAAAATATTAAAATATAATCAAGAATGACTATGAATTTTATGAAAGTACCTTAGTATATATAATAAACAATAAATAATCTATGGTCACATGGGGCAATTAATTTTATACTTTCTATATTTGAAGGTTAGGTACCTTTAAGCCATGTGCATCCACTTCTCCTCTGGTCTAGTCAACTTTTTATTTCATTTCTTCCCGTATTTATTCATATGTTCATTGTTGTTAATTCTTTAGGAAAGAAGATGACTCAACAAACATCTTAGAATATTTAACAAAACTCAAGTACCAGGCATGTGAAATCTCCGTATTAGTGGTCAAGGTAGCCTAAGAAATTCCTCAAACAATAGAAGCTATTACCATTACTTTTGTCTGCTTCTCAGAGCCCGATTGTACATCCTTATTGCTGAAGAAACTTTACATTTTGAACATAGAGCCCAGAATATTAAAGCTGGATCAAACTTGAAATCTGCCTTCCTATAGTCTAGGTTTATAGTACCAATAGTTGCTATGAAAGCTGCCAGGGGATAGAAGCAATCTGTAGTCTTATACAGATGTGATATCTATTTAACACAGCAGTAACAAGTCAGCTCTTTGATCATCTCCCTTGTGTGAAGAGGCCTAACTAAGCAACAGAAAAAGAGGATCCAGACGGTCCTAATGAGAACGGGTAGGCTAAGGTCAGATAGAAGGGGAAGAGGATCTCCCCTATCAGTGGGCTAGCGGAGGGGTATGGGGGGAAGAGGAAGGGAGGGTGGAACCACTGGGAGGAGATGAGGGAGGAGATATAGCCAGAATACAAAGTGAATAAATTGTAATAAATAATAAAAATTGAAAAATTAAATAAATACATATATACTTTGTATATATATACATGCAATAAAGATACAATATTGATGCTTACATCTTAGTAATGAACAGCTATCTAATTGAAAGGAAGGCATTGTCAACAGGAGAGAAATGGTATTTTGTCGCGCGCGGCCTTTGCCGATAAGGACGACGCAACAACCGAGGATTTCTTCAGCGGCAAGTTTATTGTACAGCTCTTTCTTGCAGATGGTGAAGGACCCAAACCCCTGGCAGCGCCCCGTTTAAATAGCCAGCAAGGCGACCTGTCCGTCTGTAATTGGTGCTCTGCTCGAGTCCTCATCAGTATATGGCTGGCAATTGGATTGCAGCCTAAACCCTCATCAACATAAAGCTGCGCATGCGTAAAGCGCAGGGCGGCACAGGCAAGAAGAACCAGGAAACAGGAAGCCGGCGCCATCTTGCAATGGCGGGAGCGGCTCCCGACAGTATTTGAAACCTACCACAACTACCTGGGGCTGGTAAGGTCTTAGTAAGGTCTCTCAGAGGAGAACACACTACTAACACTTTGAAGAGAATTGTAATGTCTTCTGCATTGTGAAACTTTTCCTTGTCTGTGAAAATAAAAGTGGCTCCCACTATGCATCAAAGAAGTTTTTTGTTTTTTGTTTTTTGTTTTTTGTTTTTTTCAGGAAATGAAGACCGTTAGAGAAAAACACAACTGTTTATAATGCAGGGATCCACTGATCATGGAGAGCCCATCCCAAGAAGAGACATTTACAAGAACCAAAATTCCTGAACCGAGGTCTATGAGAACATTGCAGGGAAGCAGGAAGTCTTCTATGAGATGGTGTCTCCTAGAAGTGGCAGGGACCTGAACAACGATGGTCCCATTACACATAGTGGGAAAGAGAAAATCTCAAGTGTCTCACCCATAGACAAAGAACTAGAAGCAACTAATGACTTCTGAAAAGGGGAGAATTAGTTTCTACTGAGTTGAGCATCCTAATTGGGTATCGAGTACAATATGATCAGCCCTTAGACTGTATATTAAATATTTAAAAGAAACAGCAGGTTGTATTGATATATTCATGCATATGTACTTATTTGTTTATGCATATAGATGTACGAATAATAATTTTAAAAAATCCATTATGTGACAGGGAAGGGTTGGAGAGGTGAAAGGGATGGGGTAAATGATGTGATTATATTTTTATTTTATTTTATTATTTATTCACTTTACATTCCGATCGTAGCCACCTCCCTGCTCTCTTCCTGCTCCCACCATCCCTCCCTCTTCCCCCAATGTCCCCTCTCCTACTCCTCAGAAAAAGGGAGCCCCTAATATCAACCCACCCCAGCACATCTGGCCAGACCACCCTAAAGGCACCCCATCTTGTCTAATGCAATTATATCTTAATTCAAAAGGAAACTACCCCTGCCCCTAGAAGCATTATAGGTGTGGCTGTTGCGTCACATTGTGTCAGTAGGTAATAGACAGGAGAATGGCTGTGTCTTTGCTCCATGTTCTTGCCTATGAGCATCTGGATGATTAGTAGACTAACATTCCCTGAGAGGAGCACCAGTCCAGCACCACGGGGCTTTGACAGAGGCCTACCTTAAGACCACTAGAAGACACCCAGGACCTGAACATGCTGGAGACTATAAGAACCCTGCCTGGGACTGAGGGCCAGAGGCAGGAGTGGGCTCGAGACAGAGGACCACTCAGGCAGACTGGGCCTCTATCATCTTCGTTTGGTATTTACGGTCATCTTCTTGTGCTTCAGCTGTGTTACAGCATCGAAGGCCTGCTGTAGTAAGACAGACTCTGGGGATGCCTATTGCTCTGGCTGTTGTCAATTGTGCTCTTACGCTGGTCTTTAGCATCTGTGTTTTGAGGTTATTACAGGTTTAGACGCTGGTTTCTGAGTTTATCTTCCTTGGATAGGTGGTTTTGGTATGTTTTTATCCTTGGCTTTTGCTTCCTCTCTGTCTTCTGGCCTGTGTGTCCTGGGGTTCTGGTGACTAGTGAGTCTTCAAATCTAGTACTGTGTTTGCGCTGGGGTTCTTGGGTCTCAGTAGCCTCTAGGATTTTAGCCTCTAGAGTTTCTAGTCGAGTATGGCTTGGAGTGCCTGGTGATAGCATGCCTCTAGGAAAGCTGGTGGAGTTGTGAAATGAAAAATGGAGCCTGGGGAGTAGGGTACAGTTTAAGGCGGTGGTTGAGTATGGTTTTAGGAGATATGGCGCACAAGGGCTTGGGGCAGGCTCTTACCTGACTACATCTGGTGCCAGAGGCTTCCAAGAAATCAGGCCAAGTCGTGGGAATGGAAATTTATCACAGGATCCGGGTGCGCTCTGTTTGTTGTGCTTTCGGGTGACTTAGTTGGCAGGAGCTTGAAGGAGAGTCACCTGGAGTCCTCGGTGCAGGAAGGTCCAGGAAAGCAGACAGTTGTGGGGCCGGAAACGAAGCACAGGGTTTAGGGTGCAGTTTATTGCTGTTGTGTGTGCTTTTAGGGGAGTTAGAAGGCAGGATTTTAGGGGCAGGGAGAGGCTTTTCCGCAGTACTTGGTGCTTGAGGGCATCCTGGGGTCCCCATGGCCAACAGACCTCCAGAAAATCAGGCAAGATTATGGAGTTGTTATTCTTTTTGGAGAATACTGACAGCATCACATTAAACTGTTTAACAATAAAACATTAGTAAATATTCTTTACTAAATGTTCAGAAAAACATTTATTGCAGATGTGTCAAAGAATGCTAGTTTTTAAACCTGTTGATTTGATTTAGCCACACAGAGCGTAAATTCTTCATTTAGTACCCTTGCCTCTGAAGCAACAGAGAAAGAATAGCACTAGTTACAAATGTATTGAGTTATTTCTGCAGCTGTAAAATATTTTTACAATCATCCACGGGAAAATATGTTTTACACACTGATATAATACACACACACACACACACACACACACACACACAAACATATCCATTTATAGGAAGTTACATCCACACAGAACTGAAAAACATATTTCATACTGGGGAGCTTATTTTTACTTTCAACAGTGAATGCTAATATTGTTTCAACTTGGCTTTTACAGCTTTTAATGTGAGTCAAAGTCCTCTTGGTGTTTACTAGCACCAACCAAATGGATATCATTAGGTACCAAAATACATACCTATAATTTGAAAATCACTGACATCACAGAACTTAGAGATACTTTTTGTCATGTTCATAAAACATTGTTTTATTTTCTAAAAAGAAAACATATTTCATGCATAGACCAAACACTATAAGGTTGTTTTGCCCGAAGGAATAGTTTCTTAATGATGTACTGGTGTTTTCCCAATGGGTGTGGTTCTTTATAGCTCAGATACAGAGTATGTACATCCTGAAGTAAAATGATAAGAGCAGTGTGTGTTTCAAATTGTTAACAAACTTCAAATTGATTCTAGCAAGCAGAAGTTCATTTACCAAATGGAGCTGATGAGCTCACAGGATAAGTATGTTGGCTTAAAAATGAAGCCCCACATTCCCTGAGGAATTACTGTTTTCACCAGGCTCTTTCTTCATGTGTTAATTGTGGGGTGGGAAGCAAGTTATATGTCTTATCCTTTTTTTTTTTTTTCTACTTGCCCTGACTGCCAGAATTTCTTTAAGGTGGTTATAGAAGTAGAAGAGATGTTTGAGGAACCATATACAGAATGAAACCAAAAGGACATAGAGTAACAAAAAATATAATGATAAGTTTACAAATATTTTCAGGGGCCAGAGAGTTACATCAGTGAGTAAAGGTGCTTCTCGTGCAAGCCTGGTGACTGGAATTTGATCCCTTGTATCCACTTAAAGGAAGAAGGATGGAGAGAACTGATTCCACAAAGTTGTAATCTGACCTTCACATTTCTGCCCACAAACGATTATCACACACAAATGCACACACACACACACAATTTTAAAAAAAACACACAAAACAATAATAGCATTTTGTCAATGAGACTGATAAGAGCTTCAAAATTATTAACACTGAAATATGAAATACTTGGCTATGAATGTAATGATTATGTTAATTTCAGAAAATATTAATACTGTGATAATCATTCATATTTTATGTATTGTAGGTATAAAAAATAAAATAAGAAAGCTGTTCTGTGATCTATTCTGTGGTGATGAAGCATTTTCATAAGAAATTTTATCATTGATATAAAAAGATAATTTTATAGAACAGACCCCATCTTTTCTATCTCATGTGCTGATGAACCTTTCAGAAAATATTTATATACAAAAATATTCTGTGTGGAAAGTGAAGGAAGAAAAGAGAAGAGATTGGGTGAAAGTTTTTTGAAAGACAGAGTCTAGGAGCCATTTCTGTCACCTCTTTTCTCATTTGGGACATTTTCACTCATCAATATTTTCAATTCTAGAGCTAGACCTGTCATTCAGATGAGAGTTCACTGCAGTTAACTTTCAGATTTATGAATATGGCCAAAGAAGGCAATCTGAACAATTTAGCTATGAAAAGACTGCCAAATTTGGTACTAAAAACTGAATGGCTACTGTTTACTTACACATGGCAAAGAAACATATTGTCACAGTGAATGGATTTGTAGTCCAAAAGAAGAAAAACAAAACATTAAAGCCCAGAAGTCAAGGACAGAAGAAAGGGGTGGGGAGCAAAGTCAAAGTTCAGACATGAATCTCTCTCTCTCTCTCTCTCTCTCTCTCTCTCTCTCTCTCACACACACACACACACACACACACACACGTCTTTTGTCTTGTGTAAATAAATTAATAGCTCATGTGCACAAGAGCCAATTTACCCAATGTGCAATTCACAAAGGAAACATTCTGAGTTACACAGACACATGGGTAAATGTGGTGAGGGTTTTAGGAAAGCCTGCACTTTGCATGGAAATTAAATATAGGCACTGGGAAAGTCCTTACTGTGCACACATGGGCTGAATCCACGCTGAGCATATGGAACTCATTCCATCTTCTGTAAACTGCACAGGGCTTGCTTTCTGCCTCATCTCTCATGCAGCCAGTCAGTACAAGGGATGTGTGAATGTCACTCAGCCTTTCAGCGTATCTCCCAGCTTTACACCTAAAACTGTCAAAGGCCAGCAGCATGTCAATGGGCATACAACAGCCCAAAACGTCAGCAAGACTAGTAGGAACAATACATAGGGGAAGGGCAGCATGTGCAGTGAGCGCTGATTGAACGCACTTGAAGTTCTCCCCTGACTCCTTCACCAAGAGCTTCTGAGACAGGGAACGTCACTCAGTTTCTAGTCTTCATCAGTAGCCTGAGAAGAATGTTTCCCATTATAGCTGCTTCGCGGAAATGCCAGTAATGATATTTAAGGTTTTCATGTAAAATACTTCTGGCAATTTATGTACAAAAAGTAAGTATATTGGGCTTTATAAAGTTAGATAATCTGATGAAACAGAATTCCTGCTGAAATTATTAAACAAAAATCCTAAAAAACTAAATTATCCATTTAAAAAGAACTGAGATAAATGTTTCTTGTAGAACTAACTACCATAAAAGCATTTCTTTTCCCTTTCTTTATAAAAACAAAGAACCTAAAAATCTTGGAAGGAGTAATGATACTAGACACAACTGAATCCCCAAATTAACATGAAACCAGTAATTACTAAAATGTGGTAAGTTCTCTGCTGAGCTCAACCTTGCTTACCACCCACAAATCAGTTTCCTTTTGATTAATTCAGTACAAGGGCCAAGAACTGCATGGATCTACTCCCTCTGGGGCAGTGTGAAGGTCCATCATTTCCAAAGAACAGTGTGTGCTTAGGCAGCTGAGCCATTCTCATAATAGCACTCTGACCACAAAAACATATTGCTCCATAGACATGTCAATTCAGCATTCTGTACTAAAATCACACAAGTAGTCAAGGGAAAAGGCATGGTGCCTAGCTCTACATTTTGTCAAAGAGTTTCCCAAAGCATGGAAGTAGGGGTCATGATGTTTTAACTAAACCCTTGGTCATGATGAGCTGAATTTAGTATCCGGATTTAATGTGGATGCGTGACTTTAAACACACTTCCTTAATTTACCTATGTGCATTGCTTTCTTCATCTATCACATGGAACTAATAAATCGAACCTGTATGAGTAGCATGTGATACATGAAACATTCACATAGGATGGATATTTCTGTGAGGCCATTAGACTCTAGACACTTGCTTGTTGAACACTCTAAATAAATCTTATGTAAAAGGAGTCACACAGAATATTTCACAATGTAACAAATTTGTGATTCACATCTGATAGAGGGTACATATAGAAATGATAACATTTTTCATAGAGTAACTTGAAACTCAAACTAATGGATGGCTTGGGAACTTCATCAGATCATGTGCCTCGATGCCTTTGAACAAGGAAATGTAGAATTATGGGAGCCAGCGCCAATGTAATATTTAACACAAACAAAAACGGAAGCTCCTTTAAAAGACTGCCTGATGCTTAGGAAAGATATAGCTAAAATAATTATGATTGTTTACATAATTAGAATTAATTATGAATAATTAAAGATTTAAAAATTAACTGAAAGTTAAT